AGAGCTTTCTAATTACATTCCGCGCGCCATATCGCATGTATGGAATGCACCGCGGACGTGCCACTCCACGTCAAAAATTCATTGCTAATTATCAACTATAATATCGTCATTATTCAATTAATTAATACAACAATCATTATTACACTGTCGTTTCTATTTACGTTCACTAGAATAACTCGATCGCATCCGGCAAGACCACATCGTCATCACAGCAAAAAATAATAAAAATATGTGTCACATGATCAAAGGAGGGGGGAAGTGCCAAATTTTATGGCGAGGGTACTTTCCGCACACTGACTGTCTTGTGGGTGAGACGACGAGGGCTGGGAGCACTCGGGTAGTGGACCAAAGTCGGTCCGACACAACGCAGGGGGACGTCCCGCGGCTCATCACAGCATCTGGCTGGCTGGTCCGGAGGCCCGTCCAGGGGACTAGTTTCACACGGAGAGCGCCAACGCGGCCCTGGAACAGATTCAATGGCAACGTTAGAAAAGGGCACGATACCATAACATATTCATCTACTCGACCCACAGCCACCTCCTCCTCAATCCATTGTCACAACGCCGCGCCCACACACTTGAAAAAGTTAGCGCATCACATAGGACTCGTAGTCGTATTTTTTTTCAGGATCATGTGGGACAAGGGCTTGTTTGAATAATCTCTTTTTCTTTTTTCAAATCTCCATAACCAAACAGCCCATCCCACCACGGCGACAGGAAGGAGATGTCATTGTGATGCTAATGGGGTGCATGTAACGCCATGCGGCGGCCATGCGGCGGGCCGCAGCGGCGGCAGCGGTCAGCACCGGGGCAAAAAGGAGCAGGAGGAGGAGGAGAGGGCAGCCAGGGAGTTCCGATCCACGACTCATAGCCGCGCGGCGCGGGCCAGCAGCATGGAGAGGGAGAGCAGTGAGAGACGAGAGAGAGAGAGAGGGGAGAGCGGGTATAGGAGATCGGTAATTAGGAGGCGCGGAAAAACGAATATGAGCCAACAATGCCATATTGTGAGTCCATTGTTGGGCATCGCCACAACAACAATCAACAACGGCGTCGTATCGATAACAATGGCCGACCTTTCCGCTAGGGCGAGCGCCACACTCACGTGCCATCCGTCCGGCCCGGCTGCAGCAGAGGCGCAGGAGCTGTCGTCGCTCCGCGCGTGGCAGTCCCCGCGGCTCCCCCGCGGCGCCCCACAGTCAGCCTCAGCAGCAGCAGCCCCTGTGCAAGGCGCGCGCTGCTGTGCAGCAAATCGTTCTCGCGTTTGCAACAAGTGGGGCGTGCGACCTGCGCGCCATCTGCTGCACCTCGGCTGCACCTGAATGTCATCACACTTGCGCTCTAGCTGATTGGCTCGAGGCCCCCGGGGCCCGGGGCGCCGAGTGCCCCCGACGCGGACCTAATGGCCGCCGCAGATGGGCGTGGGAAGTATCGCCATTGTTGGACGAGAGGAGGCCCTCCCCACTCGACTCATCATCTCGAAGACTTCGATTATTTGGAACGATGTGCCACTTCCTTCCCCTATCTCCTCGGCAGCAGCGGCAGCAGCATAGCATCGGGAGCGGGTCAGAGCAGCCAACAAGGGAGAAGGAGAGAGAGAGAGAAGGAGCTCTCTCTCTGTTCTGTAATCCCATTTCGGCACGCCGAAACAATAAGTGGAGAGGCAAAGTGGCTCGCCGAAGAGGAGCCGCCCGGTGCGCGAGGAGGCGAGGTGCGGCGCCTCGCACCTGCTGCCGGCCGGGCCTCCGTCTATTGGACGGTCGTGGCGGCAAAAGCCAGGCAAAGCGGGCCGCACCGATAAGCTCCGGGGCCGACTACCCGTCACTCTAGTCTATAGATAAAAGTAAACAGGTGACAAAAGTCGCACTCTGACAAACGAGTGAAGCCCCCTGTGACACTTTGTACAACTCTAGCGACCGCGAGGAGCTGCAGAGGAAGCAGAAGAAGCAAAAGTGGGTCGCCCCGGCGGGCGGGCGGGCAGCAAGGGCAGTAACAAGTGTCGCGGTGACCCCTCGACGGAAATTTTTACTGTCGACAATTGATTGTCCTCGTGAGATCGCACACGGCGAAAAGTAAGTGTGAATGTGTGGCATTCTGGGCCGTTGTCGCGGTGAAGGTCCCAGCGAGGCGTGGTCGGGGCTTGGGCCCCGCGGGCGTGGTCGAAGGACTTCGCCCTCGCGACCGCCGCGACTATGCAGTGCTATGCACCTGCACCAGGCCTGCCTGCCGGCTGCCTGCCCACACGCACACAGACACACACAGACACACACACACACACACACACACACACACACACACGCACACATCGGAATGAGGCACTGTCGCCGCTTTCTCATATCGGACGTGTGGGCCAAACTAGCGGCCCTCCAGGCAGGGCATGGGCAGCCGGTCAGGATACAGGCAGATTTAAAAAAATAAAACATTTTATTTATTATTTTTTTTTAAAGAAAAAGAAACTACCTAAACCAAGTTTTAAAGAGTTAAAAAAAAACGGTTTTCCAAAAAACTCTGAAGCAGGAAGGCCCGTGTTAGTGACGGCAGTCGTTGCATTTTTGCCGACAGGTGCCTCGCGGCCTCTTCCCGCCGTCCTAACGCAGCGGCGTGACACACGCACGTCGCACAGGCGAGTTGACAGGTGACAATTATTACGCAAAAAAGTTATTGTACGGAGAGAGAGAGTGTGTGTGTGTGACTATTTTTCGGCGTGGCGCCTCAACGACACGAAGAACGACAAGCGGTGTGACGAACTTAATACCTCAGCCTGTCACGGCAGTCGTTTCTGCTACACACTCACTCACTCACTCTCGCGTACAGGTACGCACACCGTAAACAGGTTACACAATAAGGTTCACAAAATCTTCACACGTCACATGTCTTGAATATTAGTTTCTCGTGTCCGCACTACCCACTACGACATAACAACCTATTAGTCATTTTACAAATCTATATTCGTCCACCTAAGAGTTTTGAGTAGAAAAATAAATACAGAGCGTTATTCGTCAGATCACGATGAAAATTCCAACGGTGCCCGCAACACAAACACACACACGCCGTTACTGCTCTGCGGGTAATTAAAGCCCCTGCGGCTAATAACCGTCCAGACTGTCGCCTTGCGACTTGCGGTGGCGCCAGTGGCGTAGAGCCTCTCCCTCCCTCCCTCTCTCCCCCCCTCCCTCCCTCTCTCTCTCTCCCTCCCTCTCTCTCTCCCTCTCTCTCTCTAAGCCGAAGAGGCGCTCCGGTTACTCCACGGCGGGGCACGGTGCGGCGTTCAGCGCCTCTCCAAAGGAAACGTGACGGCCGGCGCGGCGCTTCGTGGGGCGCCCAAATTTGAAGCTGTTTAAAATGCAACACTTGCGTCACGGCCTCGCGGGGCCACACGCGGAGGACGGCACGACGCACGAAAGCAGGTCACGGGTGTAAAGAGAAATTTGTTAAAAATAAAATAATGTTTGGTTTAAGAGCGAACCTCTGCCGCGAGCTGAGCTTTGCAGGCCGGCTACGGGCGGCATGCAGAGACGCGGTGACTACGGACTGCCGGCTCCTGTGCACTGCTTGCCGGCCTTGCCACTCGTCCGACCTTCCAAATAATTCAGCCTGTAGTCGCTTGGATCCCGCTCCCTTTCCTGCTAAGACTTATCGTGACTGGCGCCTGGCGCCTCTGGAGGCGCCTGCAGTCGCCTGGAGGCCCCCGGCCTCTGGGCTGGCATTCCCAGGCGATCCGCCGTGTCTGCGCCTTTCGCTGGACGCATCGACGGCAAGGTCAAGTCGGCCAGGTGAGTGTGACCTCAACGACGGCGACAGGGAGGGCCCGGAGTGATGGAGGGAGGAGGGGGGGGGCGGAGGAGGATGGTGGAGTATACTCCATCATTGCTATAGCAATGACAGAATGTCAGGTCAGGACTCTGCACTCAGCAGAGAGTGGTCGTGGACGATACAGTGTAGGCGCGAGAGGGGGGGGGGGGGGCTGAGGGCGTATCCGCCTCGCCTCCGAGAGACAACATAAAAGTGGTGAAAAGGACGGGCGATGGCACGCCGATGGCGGTGAGCGCGCGCCAGGCCGGGAAAGAGCTGGTCACGTAAATGGAGCACACGTCGAGAGAGGACGTAGGCGGATGGAGAGCGAACGAGCGAGAGTGAGCGAGAGAGTAGGAGAGGAGAGGCGGGGGAGAAACAAGAGCAGAGGAGGGAGACGGAGAGAGACAGTGCGTGCGTGAGAGCCACCCTGCAGCAGGGTCAATGCCGGCCATTACTCAAATATCTTTAGGTCTGCATGGCTGAGAGTGGCTCGCGCCGTACAAGGATCGGGGGTTCGTTTTGTTTGATGCTCTCAGGCGGCAGACGGCATCATGTTGGGAGCGCTGCCGCACGGCTGCCGCACTGCTGCCTCAAGGCTGCCTCATGGCTGCCTCATGGCTGCCTCATGACCACCTCATGGCCACTTCATGGCTCTCCCCGTGCCGGCTGAATAGCAGGGCTCAGGGATCTCACTGCTGCCACTCTTATGGCAAGCCGGGCACTCCTGCCCAGCAGGCCCAGGCCGTATTATAGCTTGTTTGAATCTGGCGCCCAAAACGGTCGAGTCGTGGCGGCGGGGCGGGCCATCACGTCGTGCCCTCGTTTCCTCGCAAACGATCGGTCTGCGCACCTCCAAATCACACACTCACACACTGAGCAGCCGCCCCCCTCGGCCCCAACCGAGACGTGAGCCTGCTTACACCCACCGTCGGACCAACAACCAGGAATCCATACCAGGAATACGGAGGAGGAGAAAAGAAATACGAGGCGGTATTTGATTCCACTCTGAGGCGCGCAGAAGTGGCGGAGGTACCCCCGTGGTGTCAAAATGATGCCAAAATGATTTTTTCTTTTTCTTGACACATTGGTTTGAGAGCAAGTTCTCGCCCAAAGAGAAATAAATGTTAGCTGAATTTAAAATCAATGCACTTCATTGACCCAAACACCGCGATGCACGACGAAAGACGTCATCGTATCTGGAAGCACCTTTCTCGTCTGGAAAAGTGAGTTTCCCATAGGCGGAGTCTGCTGCTTCGCGCTACGGCACCGCCACGGGCTGTAGGGAGGAAGCGAGGAGCATGGGCGCGCCGCGACCAAGGCGACGGCGGCGGATGCTCTGAGGCGCGCATTTCAAACACCCGCGGCCCGGCCCGGTGGAGCTGTCCGAGGAGCTGTCCCCTACCCCGAGGCGCGCGCGACGCACGGACGGCACATCCGGGCACATCCGCTGCTGGGGACGCGGAACATCCGCGTATACTGCTCGCTACACGACACTCTGCAAAAATCAATTGGTTTGGAAATTTTCAAACAATTTCAGAATAGTCATCTCGAGTCACCGCCCTCCCCCCCCCCTCACATTTAAATAATGTTATAAACAAATTGAGTATGGATTGTTTTCCCCATAGACCAAACTCAGTTTGCTCTACACGCACGAGGCTGTTCAGCGGGAGG